CCCCCCCCCCCCCCCCCGATGCCTTCCACACAACAAATAGGTTTGAATAGAACCCTTGTCCCTGTTCGTTCTCCGGTAACACTTGTACCACCTGTATGTCCAGCAGTTGTTCAACTGCTGTTTCCATAATTACCTTTTTGGTTCTGTCCCTTGGCGTCGGGCATCTTCTGAATGAGTTCAGGGTATGAAGATGAATGCTAGAACTAGGCCTTTTCTTAATGTGTCTAGGACCTACTTGTCTGTTGTTGTTGTCTCCTATTGGTCGGTGAATAGGCCCAGTCTCCCATGGGCGCGTTGTTCCAGCCGTCACTTAGTACGCCAGAAGGTCCTGCTGGTCAAACTCCTGAAAGGGTGCCTTCCCTGGGACCGTTGTCCACCCCTATCTCTGAATCCTGACCTGTCTGGCAGTAGGGAACTGTGTGTACTGTCTCTGTGGGTCCTGGGAGTGGTTGAAGCCACCCCCGAGATAGGAAAGGGCTGTTGCCATGTATAAGGTGAAGATCGCCTATCTGCCTGACCAAATTTCCTCGGTAAGACCTTCCTCTTATCTTTGGTTTCTATCAATAATGGCTCAATGGCCTCCCCGAAAAGTTTGTCCCCTTTAACTGGAGCGGATGCCAGTTTCCATTTATGTTTCAGACCCGCCTGCCAGTGGCAGTGTCAAACAAGTTGCCTTGCAGCCACTGAAGCTGCGATAGCCTTTGTTGCGTACTTGACCCCATTAAGTGTGGCGTCTGCTATGAACTCTGTTGCAGCAGTTATTTTGTTCAAATCCCGTTGCAATTGAAGATCACCAGGTGGCATCCTTTCCTACATCTGCTCAAGCCATATCAGGACTGCTCTACTGAAAAATGATGCCGTGGATGTTGCCTTTACCGACCATGCCACAGCCTGGTGTACTTTTTGTAGGGTCTGTTCCATTTTCTTATCCTCCCCTTTTAGACCATCCTCAGCTTCTTTAGCCAGCACTGTAGCCGACGTGGAGGCTGCCACAGGGCTGTCTATCGTGGGAACTGGAATTAGGTCTGCTAGTTCCGCATTATAAAATCTCCTCTCATTCCCCACTGGCATGGGGAAAATAACTGGTCTGTCCCACTGTCCTTCCATCACCTCCCTGAACAATTCAGGTGAAGGTATGGATTCACTTTCAACCTTGGTTCTAGCAAAAAATCTATCTTTGGGATCAGATGGTTCTTAGACCCTTCTGTCCCTGTGATTTTCCTCAGACCTGTTGCTATCTTAGGCTTCCCCAGCAGCATCTTAAACAGCTGGTGATGAAATAGACCTGTGAACATTGGGGTCTCTGCTTCATTTGCCTCTTCATCTGAAAAGGCTGACTCCTTATATTCTTCCTATCCTGATACAGAGGCCTCACTGTGAGTGTCTGATCTACTGGAACTGTCTCCCTGGAACCCTAGTTCCTCCCTTACTCCTCCTGCCCGAGTAGGATGATGAGCATCCTGCCTCCTCTCATTATGTATCAGGCTGGGTCTGTTACCCTGACTGTCTCTGAATTTTGCCATCATTTCTTTCATCATGGCCCTCATTTCCTCTTTAAAGGACTGTTTCCTGGCTCCCGTTGCTATGGGAAAAAAAGCTAACCTCTGTTGAAAACCTCCTTCTCTTGGGGGAGGGCTCTTCATTGCATGCCCAAGAGCATTGTCTTTCTGATTCACTCATTCCTTCGTCCACACAAAGAGCAGGCTGAAAAGACTGCTTTTCAGCGCCCTCTAGTGTTGTGCTCTTTTCCTGATACTTCGTTGTCATTGGCTTGCCTATTGGAGTGCTGGAATTTCCATTCTTCCCTGCCTCCTTTTCAGCCCTTGAGAAGCACTTCTCAATGGCCTTTTGTCTCCTTAATGCCCCCCCTCCCTCTCCCTCCCTCTCCCTCTCTCTCTCTCTCTCTCTCTCTTCTGCCTTGGACACCCTGCTGAGATGCCTTTCTGAAGGTCTCCCAGCCTCTCTGGGTTCCTTTGTTTTTTGCTCTCTGATTGGGCTGGGGGCAGGAAATTCCTATTCCTCTGGACCTGCCTCCGTTTCAGAAAATTCAGCAATAATATTTCCTTTGGCTCTTCCCGACAGCTTCGCCCGTTAATGAGTATGCTCAGACCAGCCTGAGTATGGACTCTAGCCTCCCTTTCTCCTGGGTAGGCTTGTGTGGCTGTTTTGGGAACTCGCTCAGCCTGAATTTGCTCCTATTAAAGAGAGTGCCGGAGACTTTGTGTGGCTCCTGGCTTTTTTAAAAAGCTATGGGAAGGCCGAGTGATTGTTAATTAGCCCTCTTTCTCTGCTAGCCAATCGAGAACCCGCCCGCTCTTACTGAGGCTGCTGCCACTTGTTCTTTTAAACACAAAGCATCTATGTGGGGCTTTCCCGTCTTGGAATGAGGTCCCAGCTCTTTTGTTTACTCATAGTTTGCTGACTTTCACTCTTTCTCTTTCTCTCTTTTTTCTTGAAGAATCCAAAGCGTTAATCCTATATTTTCTATCTTTCTTTCTGAGCACTCTCTCCTCGTGTCCTCTTTGCATGAAGACGGAGTCAAAACCTGGGCATGCACAGTGGAAAGGGGGCTGGACTAAACTTTGATTGATTCCGTCTTTAAGCAAGGAAGCAGGAGACAGCCATGCTTTGGATTCTCTGACCCGTACAACTGAGAACATTGATTCAAGCTGGGTTTTTATAGTAGAGCCTAAAGAATGTAAACAAGATTTATCTCAATTAATCTTACAACCAGTATAATTTCCAAAGTGTTATATTACCAATATAAAATTAGGAAACAATATAGAAGGTTTTAACATGCACTAAAATATCATAACCATAATACTGAACTATAAGTTTTTTGCAAATCAGTGATTTCTCTATGTTCAATAGGTTTCGTGCTTAGAATATTTTTATATTTTGTTTGTTTCTTAAATTTGGAGAGCACTTTTTGCCTTTTTGGATTTCTTGATTCTGTTTAGGTTTTTTTAATAATTTAATGTCTTTGAATTTTATTATTGTTTTCATTGTTTATCTTTGGAATGTTATAACAAAAGGGGAATAAGAAAAAGAAAGGGGGAAATGAATTTGAAATTCTAATAATTCAAATATTAGTGGTGATTGTACTCAGCAGAGCTCAAGATATCACAGAGATGCTATTTAAAAGTTTTAAATGTTAATGAATTTATTTTTAAAATATAGATGCTTTAAACTGCTTTTAGGTGTCTAGCATTTCCAAAATTATATTTGTGGATAATTTTAATCCTTTGGACTTGTAAATAAAGGACCGTCTCCCCCCACCCTCTCTCTCTCTCTCTCTCTCTCACACACACACACACACACTTAAGCGTCCAGCTCTTTTTTCTGATTTCAGCTTCTACAAATGGAAACTCCTTTTCCTGCCATTATCGTTTCATCCTCAAATGAAATATAGCAAACAACAAGCAGCAGTCAACTGTGATACCTTTCATTCTGCCTCTATTTTATATTCAATTTCCAATTTTGAAAAATTATACCTTAAATATCTTAAATATATTTTTTAGGATTTTGAAGAGCTGACATAAAAAAAAATCAGAGAAACACAGCTTTATTAGTTTTTTATGATCAAGCCAAAATAAAAAGAACATAATCTAAATCTAGATAGTACTGAATTTTCTGGAGAAGAATATCACTAATCATTTTAAAAGATTGATTATATATTACACCAAACTGTAGTATTCTTTGTGGAATCAAAGTATTCTGAAAAAGCAAATGATATATTCACAGATTTCCAGTTTGGGTTCATTATTATCAAATTATCAAGTGCTGGCCTTTTACATAAACAAAATATACACTGAAGTTTAATAAATGAGTACAATCTAATTTCTATTCTGGCATTCAAAAGTTTACATCTACCATCCAGATGTAGACACACATTTTTTTTCACAATATAGATCTAACAAATCTGTTTATGAGAACTAATAAAACAAATAATGCAATTTTGAACAGAAAAATAACCAGAAACAAATGTACAAAGCAAATGTAACAAATATAAAATCCAGTTCAGCAGTCAACGAAATGAACTCTGAAACATTCTTGCTCCTCCGCAATAAAGTAAAAGAGAGCAAGTTAATTTTCAGCTTATAAACTTTATTGATCCGTTGCAAATTTTTGAGCATTTGATTAAAATTATGACAATTCCTTACTTAACATAATTAAGTATGATGTGCAAAACCAGGCACTGTAGTTTGTAAACTATAGTTTATAGGTTGACATATTGTCTTGACCTGTTACTTATAAATGAATTCAACAAATGGTTAAACAAGATTTGATTTAATGCAAAGACTAAATCTGGACATTTACTGTTTAGGTTATGCAATATTACAAAATGTGCTTTAAACACATGGGGTTGTGAACAAAAAACCTACCTAAACGTCTTAAAGCAACTGTATATTTTCCTAGAAGTGCATGCACTTGTCTTAAGGTGTTGCACTATATTCAAATTCCTTTCAAGCCTTTGGAGATTGAATTTGAAGACTGCAGAGCCCATAATTTAAGATTGTCGCAACTAAAGTTCATAAAAGCAGTCCACTAAAGTTGAGGAAACTGTTATCCAAAAACCTTAATACTTTTATAGTTGAATTTATATATTGAGGAATCACTGTCATAGAGCAAGTTAATTAATTATTGTATTACTATGGTATCCTCCAATCCGAAACGAAAACGTGCATGATTTTCACTTAATACTTCCTTTAAACTCTTAATACTTTCTTTAAACTCTTCCCCATCATATGAACAAACGAATATTTTATCTTCTCAAAATTCCCCGTTTTCATCTTTTCTACATTAGGGTCCTCCCGATGTATACAGTAATAGCAGTTTCCTCTTATCGTCTGCTCACTCAGCGATCCCGCTGGATTTCAGCAAAGTCAGAAATGTACAAAAGCCCCCATCTCCAAAGTTTCCGTTTTATAATTATTTTTCGAAACTCTGAAGGATTCTCCAGTTTATAATAACTAGTTTGCTGCACGTATAAGTTTTACCTTTTCCGCAGTTTCCGCCATAACGATACGTGAGACAATCACGTGAGAATGCCGGAAGTAGACGTCATTTGGCATGCTGGGTAATGTAATTCCTTTTCTCTGCTTTTACGTCTCCGCTTTCCCAAGGGTTAGAATTTCTAGAGATATATTTTTCGAATTTTCTTTTGTGTATTTAGGGCTGTGAAAATAATAAGTAAAATATAAGTCAGAACGTAAGTAGAATGACATCACACATGTATTTGAAAAAACAAAGTGGTTAAATACTATGTTTTTGTGTCGAAAGAAACGAAACAAAACAGTGGATTCATCAGAAACAGCGAAGTGATCAATTAAAAAAACCAATCACTTTTCTTGCTCCTTGCCTTCTAAACACATAGAATTGCGTTTTCCACCCTGAAACTTTACGGAACCGAAACTCCCCAAATGTCTAAATCAACAGGTTAATCTGGGAATTGAAATCCCAATATATATGGACAGCAGAAGAAGGAAGGAAAATGTGATTTATATTTCACAGGAGGGCAATTGCCCCCCCCCCTTAAAATTTTTACTTTTTATACTATTAATAAGGACCAAACTGCTATATACATTCAGATAATTAACCAAATACATATTCAATCATCAATGAATCCATTTGATCTGGTGGTATTTGCATTATATACTAAACCAAAAAATGTTTGGCTAGTTTCTGGGATGAACCCAGCTTGAATCTTGTTTTTTTCACTGCTATTATTTACTATTTGAATGGCACCATTCTGTATATTTTGATCTGCCAAGAGGACTGTGCTGAATTTTTAAAATACTTTTACAATATGAGGAAAGTAAGACGATTCAATACAAGCTTTGATCTCTTGTTTTGCTAATGTTTCTCTGGCAATCACAACAGAAAGGATTAGTGCTGTTTGCTCTTTGATTCCGTAATACAGATTGTAATCCATTCATTCCAATCCTGTTGATAGAAAGAAAAGTTGTTCTATATGTGTAATAACAAATTTAACTGGTCAGTAGGAAATATTTTGTACTAATAACCTACTCTAGTCCATCGATCTCAACGGATATTTTCAGCTTCCACTAATTTATATTCAGTAAAAGGGAGACTTTTCCTTTTCTTGGGAACAACTTTCTTTGTGGATCTTCTCTTACTGCTTAGAATTTCTTTTTAAAGTACAGCCAGAATCAGCCTTCTGCAATTTAAATCCCGTATTCTGGGATTCTGTAGTCTTGGCTAAGTGAAAACTAGTTTTGCCCTTTCCTGATGTGATATCCTTTCTGATATTTGAAGAATATTGTTGTACCGCTCACTGTTTTTTGACTGTGCCTTCAAATTGATGTCAGCTGATAGTGATCAGACAACTTTGTCTTTTACAACCTCATATATTTTTTATTTTTCCATGAGATACAGGATGTATTCTAATATAACCTGAAAAAGAATTGTATCATGCTATTTTTACAGTTCCTATTATGTCTTTCCAACATATGCACTGTGAACACACTATGTAAATTTGTCCCTACAGTATCAGTAAGCACATATATTATATATCATAGAAAATATTAGCACAAATAATATCTGTAACTTTGTAAAATAAAAATTGTTTTACTTACTTATCTGTATGTTTCTCTAATCCCCACCAAAAAAAGGTGCCAGGCTTTGAACTACATGTCAGCAATGAACAATCCTGCACCTCACATTTGCTGAGACTCTATGTATAAATGAGACACAGTATCCTCCCCTCAGTGTGAATGTGAGGTCCCATGTCAAACTGTAGTTTACATCATGACTGGCTATAAGCTGAAAGGCATATACTGGTCCAATATCCAATTTTTTAAATTTAAACAATGCTGTACTTCAGTGATTAGATGGCCTAGACATTGATATTTGAACACAGATCTTCTTGACATTTGTATTTTATTGAGTTCTATTAATCTAGTTGAAATGTTTCTTACATTGAGTCAAAGAAGTAAATATTTTCCCTAATTTGGCTGTACTAACAATTGTTCATGTTGTTTTTTGATATGTACTTCTTGTAGACAAATTATATCAAATTTTAATTTCTCTAATTTATGAAAGGTTTTCCTTCTTTTAACAGCTGAATTGAGTCCATTTATATTCATTGTAATCAATTTTTTTTCTTCCATGATTATGCTTTATATTTAGGTCTAACAGCTCTCGTGGATCTCACTTCACGCTGTTCTTTACTATCCACCTGTCCACCTACTGCACCTTCCTCTTTTTCAGTCTCCAATTGTTCCTCTTGAAACTCAATTAATGAGACCTCTTTCTCTGCCTCTTCTTCTCTCCTTCCAAAAAATTCTGCGTGGAAAAGTTCTGCTTTCTCAATTGAATCAATTCTATGTCTCTGTTCTTGCCACGTAAACATTAATCCTTCTGGAATGAGCCATCTATAATTCACTTCCTTTTTCAATAGTATTTTGGTCAGGAATCGATATTCTCTTCTCATCTCTCTCACTCTTCTGGGTATTTGTTTTAAAATCACAATCTCTTTGCCTTTGTATTTCAATGTCTTCTCTCTTACAGCTTGTAATATTTGTGTTTTGATGGATTTTTTAGTAAATCTGATATGGACTTCCCTTGGTAATTTATTTCTCATCGCATATCTTGTAAAAACTCGATATACCTCATCTACTCCATCCATCATCTTTTCCTCTGTAGTTTCCAAAGCATCCGCCAAAATTTCTATCATTATCGCAGCCAAATTTTGTCCTTTTCATTCTTCTATATTTTGAAATCTGAGATAGAATTCTGACCTCTCCATCTCCCACCTCAACATCCTACTTTTATCTTGTTCAACCACGGTTAATCTGCTATCAATATTTCCAATCTTCTCCTCTCTTTGTTTACCTTCTTCCTCAATTTTTTGGAATCTCTCATCATACTTCACCATCATTTGTTGAATATTTTCCACTTTTTCATCAGTCTTCTCTGTTCTTTGTTCAATAGTGTCTGTTTTTATCTTGAGATCTTGGATTCCTTGCATAATCATCTGTAAAGTCACTTTTTCTTGTTCTTTATCTTGCTTCAACATTGTCTGAATTAAACGTTGTCCTCCAGCTGGTGGGGAGGCAGAGGTAGAAGTAGAAACATCAGAAGATATGGGTTTCCTGCTCATTTTGATGCTTCAAGACCTTCAAATTCTTTTTTAGCTTTTAATCCAACTGGTAAAATAGCCAATTATAATCCAAAATGGAAAAATCCAATAATAAAAAGCCCAATGACAAAAAGAAAGAAGGAGAAAAAGAAAAAGAAAAATCTTCAGGTTCTTCTAGACCCTAATCCAATTATGAAGTAGTCCACAATAAAAAATGAAAAATAGAAAAAAGAAAAAAGTCCAAAAATAATAATTATAATTAGGAAAAAAAAAATAAGGAAGAAAAAGAAAAAATTCCTTCAACTTCTTCACACCTTAATCCAATTGGGAAATCTCAATAATAATAAAAAAGAAAAGGCAGAGTGGTCCAAAAATATAAATGGAAAAAGCAAAAAAAAAAAAATCCCAGTAAAAAGAAGGAGAAAAAAAGAAAAATAAAGAGAAAATTCTGAGGCTTTCCCTTTAAAATAAAAAGCAAAAATAAGAATATTACTAAAATTAAAGTTTACAGAGAGGCTGGTGAGTAGGGATACACAACTGAAAAAGGATAAGAAAACACACTGCACTTTGTTTATTTGTCCAAGGCTCTTATTATGACTCTCTTCTCCACAAGCTTTAAAGCCAAGTGTTGAAATGTTGATAAGGGTCCAGGAAAGCACCTGTAATAATATTCTGCTGCACTCTCCCTCTATCTTATCAAATTAAAGTGTCCTTGAGAAGTAGTCTTTTCAGGGTTCTTCTCCAATTCAAATAAAATATTCAAGCCTCTAGTTGGCAGTGTTACAGAGTTTCTTAATACACTTCCCCCCCCCCCCCCAAAAAACATAGTTTAAATTAAGCAAAAAGAAAAAGTATTAATATTAAAAGAAAAAATAGCCAAAGGGAGCCTCTATCCTAAAAAAAAATAAAAAAATCAAAAAGGAGCATAAGAATATATATAAGAGAAAATTCAGTCCGGTTAACTACAAAGTTGCGCTGAAGTCCCCCCCAAAAAAGTAAGGAAAAGAAAAAAAAATCCAAGCCTCAATTTGACATCCCTTTAAAAAACGCCGCTCATACAGTTTTGTCAAAAAAAAAAATCTCACAGATTTCTTCTTATATTCAGAGTGTCCTTTCAAAACTCAGCACATTAACAAAAAAAAGAGAAGTTTCTCACCCAGCCGACACACTTTCACTTTCAGCTTCTTCCTTTCCGGAGCTGTCCCGACTTCAGCAGCAATGGAGGCTGCCTCTCCGCCGCCAGCAAAAGGACTTCTCCCGGATCAAACCAGGGACTTTGCGATGTCCCTGGGATCCAGGGAATGTGCCCTTCATGGTCACCGTCTCTACGGGACGGTTTAGGTCCGTTAGGACCGACCAGGGGTGAAAATATCAGCTGCGATCTCGGAGCCCCGAGATTGCAGCTGTATCGCTGAGACGAAGCTCCGCCTTCCCAATCTAGTTGAAATGTTAATTTATATTTCTAGTCCATGTGTGATATGCCATATGCTAAATAAATAAATACATGCTAATTATCATCTTCACTTTGTTTATAGTATTCTACACAAAAAAAAATTATTCTGGAAGTACATTTTGACAATCTACATCAAACATTTCTCTATCCCAACACTTCTTTATTAGATGGAAAGCTAAATATTTCCCTTCACATATCTGGCAAAAGACAAAATCAACATTTTACTGAGAAAATATGAATATGTTTTGACCAAAATCATTCATTAACATGAATTCATTAACATGAATAGCAATGTCATCAATGATTTTCAAGGGCAAATAACATAAGGAAAAGCCCAAATTTGCAAGGATAAAGTCAGGAAAGCCAAGGCCCAGAATGAACTAAGACTTGCAACAAATGCAAATAATGATAACAACAACATTATAAAAACAACAGAAACAAGGGCAGAATATAAGGAAAAACAGTTGGATGACAGATTAAATGAATGGAAAA